TACACATATCTCTATCATGCCATTTATCATACCACTCTGTAACATTTATGTAACTGTCTTTCTACCTGAGATTATAAATTCTTTGAGAGAAAGAGTCATTTACTACTTATATTCCAATTTGTATCCCTTGCATGTAGCACATAGCCTGGCATATAGTAGTTGAATAAAAAACTTTAATATCAGAACTAAAACCAAGATGTTGAAAGTACTACTAAAGTGTTAACAGAATTTCTACTGCAATAGAATTACAGCCTGCATTTTATAAAGTACATATGTATGTTTTGTTGGCATATGCTTCCCAAAGAATACTTAGACAAATACTCACTATTTCATAAAATACACAAGGCAGAGTATTTTTCCCATCTCTCATAAGAAAAGTCTTTGAATAATATGGTCCATGTGTAACAGCAGAATCGAGAACAGCTAAGGAACATTGAAATAGGGGGAGAAAATCAGTGCTGGTAAAATGCAAATAAAATTTAACAGAGAGAAGTTGCTATTTAAATAATTGCCCACACCAACCTCTCTCATAGTTTTATTTATACAATAATAAAGAAAACATTTTAAGAGGGAAAGATATTTCTGAAACTGCTTTATACTAAGGAAAACAAAATTTCTGGCCCTTTCCAACTTAGGAACAGGTTATACGCCAAAGTTCATAGAACTGACAATAGTTGGCCATCTGAAGCTTTTTCCTTTGAATGTATTCTATAGAGTGGTTAAGTCCCCATACCAAATCTACTACATTATAATAATAAGATACACTCGTAACAAATAAGCACCATGGTTTAATGAAAAAAAAAATTGAATGAGAATCAGAAGGCATGCATTTGCATCAGTTCAATTTACTAAATTGAGTGAATTGTTTAACCTCCTTCATATCTCTCACATATAAACTAAAAATAGTAATTCATGTTTATATCAAGAAATTATTACCAAATGAGAGCATTATTTATTCCTTTAATAACCATCTACTGAGCACTGACAGTGAACATTTGCCATTTTGAAATCAGCCTCCATTTCCCCTAATGCCACCCAGATTTTCCTTTAGGAAACCTCTCCTATGCCATTCTTAGCCATTTGGCTTGAATGGGATTTGTCTGCACACCTACATGCAGGAATGACCTGAGACTGACTTAAACCAATCAGTGTATCCCATTCCCCAGCTACAGAGTTTAGGGTTTAGGTGATGGGCTTGTTACCCAGTCAGAAATGATGATATGCAAGGGGTCATTTGCTACTTCCTGCAGAAGAGCAACCAGAAAAAAACCACAAAAGAATGTGACAGTGTGGTATAAGGATAGGTGGTATAGAGAACTTTGATAATCATCTTAATAACAAAAGGGAAGAATCAGCAGCTACTGGAGAGACCATAATTAAGACTTCAGGATGAAGACAATACTGTGACAGTACAGAAAATAACTAAATTTCAAAAACATAATTCTGGATGAAAATTTAAGCTGTATATTTTAAAACATATAAAGCAATAAAAAGTACATATATGTGTAAATTTATGAAATCAGATGTATACAGTAAATATACAAAAGCATGGACAGGAAAGATACCACAGTGATTATTTCTAAAGAAAAAAAATGGATAAGGGTTTAAAATGTATCTATAACATGGGTATGTGGATATTATATTCTCTATATTTTTCCGTATGTTTAGGATGTTTCATAATTTAAATATTTATTTTACTTGAACTATTGAAATATGTTTTGAATCTCTACTTATTTATCTCTTATTCTAGGTAAAATCAAATTCCAGAAACATTCTACAAAACTCTCCCCCTCTTAAATATTTAGAAAACAGATTAATTGTAGGGTGTTTAGTCATATTAGTAAAGGATTCTCTACAAATGTTATTTCAGAGTATTTAAAATATGATTTAATTTATATACAAAATTACTACTGGAGTCAGTGTGATATAATAGAAAAAACACTAGATTAAGAATATGGAGACTTGAATTCTAGATCCATTTTTGCTAACTAGTTTTGTCATTTTGGTCAAGTCTATTTTAATTATTTGCCCAATTCCTCAAGAGTTGAGTTGGAATACTTAGGAATTTCTCCTGTTTTAACATTACAAATACATAACTAAATACATCTTAAGTCACACAAATCAATGATAGACCCAAGAATTGAAGAAAATCCTAATAAATCACATTTCCTTTTAAAAATTTTAAAGATCTCTTAAGTATTCCTATGGACATTCAAAACTATTGTCCAAATATTACTGAAGTATTTTTGAAGTATTATACCTACCCAATATTTCAAAAAGAAGTACAGTTTTTTGTGTATGTTCACTCCAGTACTTCATGCTTTCAATAACTGCAGATATAATTCTTAAAGAGTTATCTTTTTCTTTCAACTTTAACTGATACAATGAGGCATCCTTTTGAAAAAAATAAAATCAAAGCATTAGAAAAACCTTTCGTTTTTTTCATTATACACTTTCACTTTGTAAAGATTCTAGGTGCTTATAATAGGCAGATGTGTAAAATGTGTTAATGGAAGTATTGAAATTTTTAGTATAGTTACTAAAGGCATCATTAACACCTTATAGGAGAAACTAAGATGCACTGGAGACAATCAAGAAGAGAATGATTATATGGGCATTCATTCACTTATTAATTTGTTCATTTGTTGAATGTTTTTAAAGTATTATGTCCTGTGATAAACACAGATGAATAAAATACAATTCCTTTCCCTAATATACTCACATTCTAGGAGGATACATTCATTCTTTCATTCCAAAAGTACTTATTGGCACCTACTATGTGCCAAACATAGCTAACGAGGAAACAACAATGAACAAAACAGACAGGATATCCACTCTCATACATTTTGCCGTCCAATGGGAGATTCAGAAAATTATAATTATATAATAGAATGCCAGAAATTTATATATATGTACTTATGTATATTTAAAATAGGGTAAAAAGTTAAAGAGAGACAGGGGTTATTTTTTTAAATTTTATTATTAGTTTCAAGTATACAGTACATTGTTTAGGTATTTACATAGTTTATGAAATGATCCCCCTGATTGTTCTTTCTCTCCTCTGGCTTTACACCTAGCCATTACATTACTGTTGACTTCATTACCTGTGTAGTGTTCCCCATCCCTGTGATCATCTATCAACTACTAATTTGTACTTTAACCTATCATCCCTTTCTCCCGGCCCCTCAACTCCCCTCCCCTCCAGCCATCACCAGATTGTCCTCTATATTTGTGAGTTTGCGACTCCTCTCTGGCTGTCACCAGATTGTCCTTTATATTTGTGAGTCTGTTTTTGATTAGTTTGTTCTTTTTGTTCCTTAGATTCCGCATATAAGTGAAATCATATGGTATTTATCTTTCTCTGACTTATTTCACTCAACATAATAACCTCTAGATCTATGTCATTGCAAATGGCAGGATTTCATTTTTTCATGGTTGAGTAATAGTCCATTGTATATATGAACCACAACTTCTTTATTCAATTGTCTGTTATTATTTTAAATTGGTTGTTGAGTGAGGACCAAGGCAACAGCCCTGAGATGAGAATGTGTCTGGCATTTTTAAAGATAAACTAAGAATACAATGTATTAAGATACTAATTTTCAGAGGATAGTGGTGGCACTTTCCTTTGTGAGGGCAGGGCATATCAAGAACACTTGATGGAACTTTTTTCCCAGCTATAATCACCTCCTCCTCCCCGACTCAACCAAAGTATGACTGCCTCCTTACTACTGCTATAATCAGCCACTGCTACTAAGGTGTCATATCATTCTTATGTACAAGGAAACATAAAGTTGAGAACCACTGCGAAACATGCTGTATTAGTCATATTTCCAGCAAAAAAAACCCACAGAATTTATCCCAGATGACTTCTTGAAAAGACTGTTGACAGGCATACACACAGAACATAGTGTACTTAAGCATTCGAAGACTAACAACAGTAAGAAACTTCTATCACTCCTAGGCTGAAAGGACAACGGGAAGAAATAAAATTACCAAACTTGTGAAAGCTGGACTCATGGAAGGGCTATATCATGCAGGGACACAATAATTGCCTGCTACACAACATTTAAGCAGGGAGGGAAGAGAAGAATCCACCCTCTCTCCCCAACCTTTGAAGTCCTACCAGTGATTCCCACTGGTTGGTCCCTAATGGAAGTCAGCTTCTGTTAAGGCAGCAGTCCCCAGCCTTTTTGGCACCAGGGACCAGTGCTCTTATGAGGATCTAATGCCTGATGATTGGAGGTGGAGCTGAGGCAGTGATGCTAGCACTGGAGAACGGCTGCAAATATGGATGAAGCTTCCCTTGCTCACCTGGTTCCTAACAGGCCATGGATCAGTACCAGTCCATAGCCTCAGCCCAGGGGTTGGGGACCACTGAGCTAAGGGATTCCAGGATGGTGCAGGACATGTAAGACGATTCATCTTTCCAGAGCACAGAGAAGGGCAGAAGGTAAACAATCTATTGGTACAGGGGTCAAGGGAGGGAAGATAGTGAATGACCAGCACACATAATATATAAAAGACATTTACAAAGAACAATTAAGAGTGAGGAGTGAAGAGAGAAAGTAAAGCTGAAGGAAGTACATATAAAACTACAAATCAAAGCAGAGTCATATTAGAGCATACATCATGTTTAGAGAATTGTGAAGAATCTGAAATGGCAAGTGGACTGGAGAATTAGCTGAATATGTAATACGAGGCTGGAGGTAAAATCAGATCATATTATAGAACCGAGGTAAGCAAACTATGGTCTGTCGTCCAAATCTAACCCACTGTTTTTGTAAATTTTTATTGAAACATGCCACACCCATCTGTTTATGCATTGTCTATGGCTGCTTTTAAGCTATAATGGCAGAGTTGAGTAGTATAGTTGAGTAGTTGCAAGAGAGACAATATGGCCATTAAAGCCGAAAACATTTACTACCTTGCCCTATACAGAAAACGTTTGTTGACCTGTTAAAAAAACAAACAAACAAACAAAAAACCACACACACAAAAACAACCTTAGACTGACATATGAAAAGCTCAGAGAATTTCTGCAACCAATGGATAAACTGTCGTCATCTCAATAATTAGTAAACAGTGAAATTCAGAGCCCAGTATAACACTGTAAAGGAACTATGAAAAGGAGCAGCCATTTACAACATCTAAGAAAATATTTTGGAAACCAACATTTACTCACTCCAATGGAACTAGATATTTGTGCTAATCAAGTAATGCATGCCATAGGATTGATTTCAAATGCTCTTATCTCTGTAATTTTCTAAATGCTTATTTATCTCATATTTTTTAAATGTAAATATAAAAATGTAAATAATTCATATTTAAAAGTTTACCTTGAGAGTGTTTTCTTCTGGAATATGACCCATTTTTTTCTTAAATTGATTTTGTTGGAAATTGGGCTTAAATGCCTGTAATGCACCATTTTTGTCTAGACCTCTCATTGTAGAGCCAGATATTTTTGATGAATGTGTTCGTCTGAGTACTTCAGTTTCTCCTTGGTGAGATAAGTTAGGAGGTTCAGATATTCTTAATTGTTTCTGTTGTTGAGCTCTCAAACTCATTGGACAAGAATTCATTCCATCATTTGCCACTATGTTTGTTCTTTTGCACTGAGATCTAAAATCATTTCTATCCCAAGTTTTCAAGCTGGTATTTTTGTTTCCATCTCCGTAGCTGTAACAGTTTTTTTTTTAATTAGCATTAGTTTTTGTTTCTATATACTTTTTATTAAGAGAAAATCAAAATTTACATTTATATGGTAATTTTTGGTTTATAAACTACTTTTAACTACTAAAAAGTTAGAAATCTTAAATACATCATCACAATAACCCTACAATATATTATACCTTTCTTATCAGGTGAGGAAACTGAGCCTTAGGGAGGAAGTAACTTGTCAAAAATCATATAGCAATTCAGAATCCAGAGAACCTTAGTCCCCCAACTCAGAGTCCAGTGCTATAAAGTATATTTTTAAACTACAGAAGCCTCCATATAACAGTGGTTTTCTCCAAGCGGTAAGATTTTGAGGACCTTTGCTTCCTTTTTACACATTTATGTTTAAATTTTCTATAAAGTAAAACTTTAAGAAGTTAAACTAATGGCTTGTCAGTGATTTTAAATCAAAAGGATAAATATAGGCTAAAGAGCTAGCTTTTTTATTAGAAATTTTGTACTTTTACTACATAGCTTAAAAGCTCTACTTATGAATATGTTACGGCATTTTACCAAATGACATATCAGCTGATCAAAACAAAATGAGGCCAAAATTTAAAAAAATGTAATTTCTGAGCCAGCAAATTAAAGAGTTCCACAAGAAAAAACTAGTCCAAGTCACAAATTCTTATTTCTGAATAATTTTCCTAAAGATATCAGAGGAGCGCAAACACTACAACCCATTCCTTGTTGGGGAAAATAATCCAAAAAGGGTCTAGGTTCCATAGTGATCAGGAACAAATTCAAATTGTATGGGGCCTAAAGCTTGTATAATTTGGGGAGCCTTTGTAAGTAAATTAGGTACAAAATTAGGTATGAAAATGAGAAAAAAAATAATTACAAAATTTGTAAAGTTGATAAATACCATAAACATCACAATATCCAAGGAAAATATTATTAGTATTCTTATTAATTGCTTGATACACCTCTGTAAGGCATTTTTCATACATTAATCATTTCTTTCATATGACAGCAATTTTTTCAACAGAAAGAATAGAAAGGATTTTATCTTCCCTCTCTGATGGCTATGGAAATTAATTATTCATAATTTAGAAAGCTTTGTTAAGCTTCATAATTCCTTATTGGTAACAGCACATCTGCAACTTCCTCCAATATTTTTGCTCAGGAGGTGCTTCTGGCCTGAACAAAGGCCTGGGAGAACTATAGATAGTCCTTTGATCTTACTGGGCATGCCCATACACAGTGCTGCCTCAGCAGCCAATCCATCTTAGCTAGGTGCTCAACATCCCAACTAGACCATGAAGCCTAAGTTGTAGTGGCTCCTGAGCAGGGTAGAGAGTAGTGTCTCCCTCAGATCCTTCTCCTTGGAGACAAAGATAGGGTCCAGATGTTCAACAAGATCCCCAAGAAAGACTGTTGTTGGGGACAGATGAATGTGAAAATAAAGCCTAGATTACGAACCTAAGCATAGAACCAGTTAAAAGATTTTTAGCAGATTACCAACTGCCTACTTGGGTTTGCAAATGTTTTCTGTTCTTAGATTTCTTGTTGTTATATTCCAACCACATATTATTTCAAATTGGAATATCTAACATCGGATGCCTGTCCAGATTACAATCTGTTACCAAATTCTCTGTCTAATGCCTGTCGATACAGACTTTCTCCTAGCACCTGCAGCTGGAACTATGCCTCCAAGGACCATCTCTAAGCATGAATTGGTCTAGTTTAAAGCCCTGAAGAAAATAACTGACTGGTCTTAAAGAAACTAGCATGAACAATAAAATCAAAACTCATTTTTTAAAAATAAAAATATTGTTTTTATGTATTAATCACTCTATTAAAAGTTTCCCCCTTTAAAAAAAAATATGGTATCTTTAATAAAAGCAAAGGTTATATTAACTTCACAGGGTTGTTGTAAGGATTATTAAAAAGACATACTGAAGCACTAAACAATGACTGACACATATGTTTGGTAAAATCTAACCTAAAAAATAAATCATGTCCTTTTTCTACGTACTAATTTTTTCATAATACTTAGGCGTTAAACTCAGATCCTTTTGGCAATGACTCAGAAGTACTCTCACCATCTTCCTTGATGGTCCTCTTTATTCCTTGAGTTCCTACCACTGCAGATGCATATGCATTTCAGTCTCCATGATTCTTTATTATTCTGTTCTACTTATCTTGAAGTAGACTGCCTTTCTAGGGTAGGACTGAGCATTCTATTTGGTTCTCAATTTCTAAATATAGCCAACATTAAGATATAGTTATTCCTGACTCTTTACCTATTGTCAATTAGATCATTAATGATCCAAAGCAAAATCATAAATTCATGGTGATAAATATTAGCAGATATTTCATTATAACATGAAGAACTCCTTTGCAAACAAAATCACTGCCAAAATTTACCTATTTTTAAAGTATTCTTAACTTCTTTTATAAAATGTAGCTAATATTGCTATAGTCAGTCATTAAGTATAGAACTTTCCTAAATGTAATTCTAAGAAAGGACAAAGAGATGAAGGATAAGGGAAGGAAGGAGAGGAAGAGAGGAAAAGGAAAAGAAGGAATAGAAGAGGAAAGAGAAATCTTAAGTAGACTCACCTCCAGCCACTCTTGCTTCTTTCAGTATTTGACTGAATACACTTAGACCCAGAATCTTGACTTCTCAGGGGATGAGAAACTGAATGTGGTATTTGCCTTTTGAGGAAACATAACTTATTAAATATTAAAAGTTTGTTTCCAAATTGATAAATGTAAAATACATATAGAATAAAATAACATCAGTCAATAAAAGACACATATTCATTGACATATACTTTTCCACATACCCTGTGTTCACTGTTTTTGTTAAAGTAGGCAACTCTGGATTCATTGATTCCCAGGCCAAATCTCAAAAGACAAAAGTAACAGAAAAAAATGTAAAATAGATAGCATTAAAAAAAAAACGATAATTATTTCATACTTATTTAATTTAGGGGTTGAAAGCATGAAGAAGAAAATAACTTGAAGATATGAACTTGTTCTTCAACAGCACTTCGTTGTGGAATTTCTCACAGCCTGTCTTAGTAATTTTTATAGATGTCTTTCTTTCCCATTGTATTTTAAGCAAAGGTAATAGTTTAATCAGTATTTTCCACAATCAGTCTTAGTATAGTTACCTTGTATTCTGTAACATGAATTCAGAGTAATCAATGATTCTTAAACTTTTTTGATCCCACTCACAGCGAGATATACATCATAACCCAACATGTATACATGTATAGTGTGCATCTATGTGTATGAGAGAGAGGAGAAAGAAATAACAAAATTTCACCACCAATTCTTATCCTTACTATGTGTGATACACTCTGATATTTTCTATTCCATTCTACTCAACTTTATTCTTTTCCATTTCTTTTTAAAAGATTGGTTGTTTCCCAGTCTAATGGATCAAGACAAAAATTTGAAAAACACTGATCTAGTCCTATCTCTTGCCCAATATAAGAACTTTACTAAACCTGTGACAGATAATAATCCTGGTCAGAGCTTGTGAGTTCACAGTACTTCACAAAGATGCACACTGCCCTATGGAGCAACTCAAATTGTTGTTATTTTTCAAGGTCAACATTCATGTTACTTTAAATATTGGAGAATTTTTAAATGGCAGATGGTGACCAGATAAACAACTACTTATGCATATCCATGTGAATTTTTTATCAATAAAAATGGGAATATAAATTCTCCAAATTCCTCAAATGTGGAAGGAAACAAAATAACTTTGGATTTAGAAATAAATTGAGGTCTATGGTTACACACTGGATGAAATTAACAATATAAGTATGGGGGGGAAGATTGATTGAGATTGATTTTAAAATTCTAGTTGTATAAGATCCTATTAAAGTTTTTTCAAGTGCACCCCCCCAAAAGGTAAAAGTATATAACTAGCATGTACCAAGTATATTTCAGAATGTCTGCCTGTTTATGCTTTCTTCTGGGGAGAAGTAAAAAGTCAGCAAACATTAAGACCTCCCGGCACCCACCACCAAAGCTAATTGCTTCAGAGATGAGAGGCTTCACCAGTATTTTAGTGACCTCACTCAAAAAGATGAGCTGAACCAGAGGCTCTCTGTCTCTAGAATTTGAATCAAGAGATATAGAGAGCAGTCAATGATGGGCTCTGAGAACTAGAATTAAAAGATTATATTAACTCTGAGAAAGGGCAATTTAGTTCATGTGCTGGTTGAAACTATAAGGAAGCCCACTGGATGAGAGAGTAAAGAGTCAATAAAGAAAAGCAAAAATGTTATAAGAAAAAAAAAACTAGGCCAAGCACTAGAAATACTTGGACTTTTTCCCTTCCTAAGGTCTTTTTTTTTCCCATTTTCCTGTGTTGATATTCACACTTATCCTTATTCCTGAGTCAACCTGCGTATCTCCATTCTTTAGCACCAAATGTCTAAGTCACAATATCCTTATGTGTTTTGAAAAAGAAAAAAAATAATCTTTACAATGTAGGTTTACCAATTCTTTAGAACAAGGTTCCAGATATAAGATAATCCATTTAAATATTAAGCTACCCTTGTAGACAAGAAAACTCAAACTACTGAACTGGGATGTTCAGAAAGAGCCGAGTAACCCATACATTTAGACAGTGGAACGAAGAGAAAAAATAAACTTTCTATTTGCATTATAATAAAATAGAAATATTTTTTTTGAATCCTAATTATTTTCTGAAAGTATTCACCTTATTTTCTTACCTGTTGGTAAAGGAGGGAAATCATAACTGTCAGAAGCAGTACTGATACCTGGATCATTTTTAAGTGGATTGGAAGTTAATGGCTGTCTATTCCTCTTTTTCTGATTGAACAATGGTACAGGCAAACAGCCTAAATTAAATGTACCAATAAATTAGTACATAAAAAAAATTAGTACATAATAGAAAAATCGTCAGATCTAGTTATATAATAATTACTAGGACATAATAATGCACAATCTGAATTTGTCTACTTCTATTTATTAATTTTATATTTATTATAAATAAATTTCTGTATCTTTGGATTGATTTTTATATTCTTTTTAAGGTCCTAAATAGCCTCGTTTGTTTCTCTAAAAACTCTTTTCTCATTTTAAGCTAACATTGCCTTAATTTCTCTTGTTTGGAAGTAATTCTCATCTCTTCCCTCATTCCTCAACCCTTCGCAAATCCACTTCTTGTTTTCCTTATTTCTCACCTGTGCTTGCCTATTATATCAACTGGAGGGGGTCCCTCAAGCTCAAAAGAAGTGAGAGAGAACTAAAACCCTAATGACTGTTTGCACTATGGTAACACAACATTTAGGGCCATGGTTCTCAAACTTTAGTTTGACCAAGATTTACCTTATGTTTAACATGCTGGTTCCTAGACCCTACTTTTATAAATTTCATTTCAATAGATTTGGTTTGGAGGTCAAACCCTGCAATTTTAACAAGCACTCCAGGTGTCTATAATGCATATTTTCTGTGGAACACTTTGAAAATGTCTACAAATGAGAATAAATACTACCTGTAAACCCTTCAGATAAGAGTCCTGGGATCTCACGTCAAATCAAAAGTCAGAATTTATAAATAGTAAAACTAGAAGGGCTCTCAGGAAAAAGAGTTCCTGAAAGCTTACACATTGTCACAGTGGAAGAACCTAGACAGGACACAGCTTTCTAAATCTCAGTTCAGATTATCTTTCTAAATCTCAGTTCAGAAATATACCATACTCCGGCTGATCCATCAAAACTTTTATTACAGGAGAATATAGACTTTGTGATAACTGTCTGATGAAAGGGTGGGAAATTTATGTGGGCTCTGAAGTCAGACCTCCTGGATTTGAATTACAACTTAAAAGTAGTTTTGAATTATGTACAACTTCAAAGTGTAAACCTGGGCAATTTCCTTAAATTCGTTGTGCCAAAATGACATATACTAAGAAAGAGTATAATAGTGATTAAGAGCATGGACTCTATAGCCAGATTCCCAGGTTCAAATGCTGGTTCTGCCACTTCATAAATTACTTATTTAACAACTCTTTTGTGCCTTAATTTCTCTTCTGGAAAACAAGGATGGTAACAACTATGCATATCTCAGAGGGCTGGTGTAAAGATTAAATAAATTACTACATATAATTAAATGTCTGAAATACAGTACATCCACCATAAATAGTAGCTATTACTATCTTATTGTGCATTATCACCATTACCTTGGTTCTCTTCATTCTTGCCTTCTAACTAATAAATTGGGAAAGCAGAAATGGTAGGGGAAGCTGTTAGGGAGATAAGTGCTTCTGGAAATACTTTAAATAAGTCACAAATACAAATAAAAAATAAACCTATTTCTTTGTTTCCAGACTAAAAGTACAGAACAACCCAAGCACATAGGGTTTGTAGAAAGAACACTAGAGTAAATCCAGAAAAGTTTGATTTTACTCCCACCTCTGCCACTAAATGTTTTGCCTTGAGTAAGTTATTTTATTTCATTGGACCTGAAAAATAAAGAGGCTATACTGTACGTTTAATCTTTTTAAAAGTTCCTTCCAAAATGCTACATTTATAAATTATACAAGCTTTACATGCTACATACAAAATATAAAAATTAAAATTGTTTGATACCTGCTGTACTGCGAGTTGAATTTTCATTGAGGCTTCTCTTCATTTCCTTCAGTATCAAAGTCTGTAACTTTTAACACTCCAAATTTACAACATGAAGTTATTCGACTAAACCTTCAAAGAAAGGAATTTGTAACTCATATTGTATAGGAAACAAGATCAAATTTTTAGCCAAGTAATTAGTAAAATTAAGTTTTAAAACTATAGTTTCAAACCTGATAGTGTAAACACCTTACAGGGTCTTTTGCTCTCTGAGCAAGAATGTACAAGAGGAACTGGTTTTCCAACTCTGTTTGAAGTAAGTTAGGGGGGCTATAACCTTGCTTCCTAAATGTATGTGGAATTTCACACAGTCCATGTAATTTGTTTTAGAACTAATGACCTACAGGTGAATAATTCTGAACCATATCTACAAAGAGAGAATTGGACTATAATATTGGCAAACTTATGTGCTTACAAGGCCAGGGAGGAAACATACACAGTTGAATTAGCCATGTGAGAATGTGCTCTGTGCCTCACTTTAAAACACAGCATATCGTCTGTTTTGGCCATTAGTTTGAGATCCCTGGATTATATAATATCAAAATCTAAGCCCTCACTTAATATCCAGAATAACCAAAATGATAAGTTTCCACAACTTCAACAAGTGAAATGAGTTTTTTTTCCTTTAACAGAATTTTTGCTGTAATTTTTTCCATAGTTGGCCTCCTAGTATAGTTCAAACCCAGTTTAAATCAACACTTACCTATTGTGTGAAAAAGCAAGATACAAACCTAAATAATTTCCGCTCCCAAGTTCACTAACCAATGAGGCAGACAGACATGAACACAACTAAGTAACAATGTAAATCATACTGAGGTAAATATTAATTTCCAAATATTGCTTATAGAAATAAAACTTGGGAAACATGAGGGAAGGAAATGCCTCTGCTTTGTTTCCATGTCTTGGGCTTGAAGCAGGATCTAGCAAGCCCTTTAAAAAATATTATTGTCATTCTAGGAACCAAAATAGAGATTACGCGACTTTTTCTTGGCACAGAAATGCCAACACCATTTACACCCCAAACCCAGAGGGGGGCCTACAAGGACTGTCAACGCTTCCGACGAGTATCATGCAAACAAACAAAAGTGTTATCCTCCCTAGAACACTAACCCGGGGTCAGGGACTCTAAATTGTCCCAACCCCAGCTTCCAACTGGACCCGAACGGCAGTAATGTGGTTGGTGGCGTCGAAGTGCAAAGAGCCTGTTCAATCTGTAAACATGAGCGCGAGCGCGCGCTGCCTCAGATGGAGGCCAGGTGGGATTATTTTGGCGCTTCGTCTCGGGAGACAGGAGTTCCAGTCAAGACTCGCGCTCTCTTTCAACAATCTCTCGCCACCCAGAGAATGGGGACAGTTTGGTAACTAGTAACAACACAGTCTTAACCTTCTTGGCCCTCCTACCAACGCGACACGCAACTTTCGCGCACAGGTTCCTCGCCTCCGTCAACCGCCGCGGAGACAGGCCAGTCAGCTACCGGAAACCTCCTCGCCTCCGAAAAAGCGCGGGAAGTCAAGCCGCGCGCAGGCGCGACTAGAACCTGCGCAGGCGCACCTCCGACCGCGACCCGCGCCCCTGCTCCCCATGCCCCGCCCCCCGCCCGCGCGCAGGCGCAGAGGCCACGGCTTTGGGGCATGCGCGCAATGGTGTCAGTCGCCACTTATGTTGATAACGATAGAAAGGTAGATGCACTTCTCCCAAGAAAGATAACGTTAACACTATGAGGTACGAGACTCAGGAATGGCTCTACTTCTTTAGGTTATTCCCCAGAGAAGAAGGAGCCTGTTCTAGTCACTGATGAACCAGTGGCAGATCTACTACCAGCCAGTCTCTGCCCCAGCTTTGGCAGAAAAGTTTCTCCAGGGCTGGTCATCCAATCCTCTGCTTACACCCACGGTCATTTTTTAGGTTCCAGACATAAGTCTGTAAAATGTTGGTAACGACCCATATTGTGCCTAAAAGAGAATGATTCAAAGGCCACGAGCCTCAAAACCAGGTCACAGGGAACCTGCTTGGTCAGGCTGAGTTTGTGAGTCAGATGAATTCCAAGGGAATTAGAGCCGCCAGGAGGCTGGTGGGAGAGGTGAGGCCTAAAAGTGTTGAAAGAGAAAATGAACAATACAGGCACACAGTAAATGCTCAATAAATGTTAGCTCTTATTTGACAACAATTTATTTATTGTTGCTATTTATTGGGTATTTACTATAGGCCAGGGTTAGTAATTCTAGTTCTCTCTGGATTTAAAGACCATGTTTTGTTGTTACCATGCTTTCTGACCATTTGAAGCCTGGGGTAGGTGAAGGGAAGAGGTACAGAGGGCACAGAGATGGAGGAAACGTTGTTAGTAAAGGCCTAGGACTATGAGACCATGAGACATAATAGTAGTTTCTTCGAAGATTAGGTCAAATAAAGGAAAGTGTTAGGAGATATAATTAGCGGCAGACTGAGATAATAGGGGACCTTGAATGCCAAACTTAGGAATAAGTCTGAAGAAATTGGGTCTTCATATTATTTGGAAAAGAAAAGACCTCAAACAAAATGTCCATAAACACTTGTTGTTTATCATGGTTCCAGAGAGGAGACTTAAAAATTAATGAATAGCAGCTTCAGGGAAGCTGCTTTTGACCTGATACATAGATACACACGTACACACACAACACATACACACACACTCCAAAAATAGATTTCTCATTAGAGAGAAAGCTATAAACCCATAATGAACAACATGCTGTGCTACATCTGTAAGGAATATGAGATGAGCAATGCGGAATCGTTGCTAGCAGTTCATAAACTTCTCTTCTACCCCTACATTGATCTGGTTATCATTTATTTATTTCCACCTAGAAAGTTGGTCAGGATGGTGACAGCAATAGGACCAAGAGGAAGAATAAAAAATTAAAATAGTGAGAATAGTTTGATTGCATAACTGCTGGACCACTACATTATGTATGAGACACTTTACATATAATAATGGAGAGAAGACCCTTTTTATCTCCCAATCATACTATTTTGGAAACAATCTCACCCTAAATTTGTCTCCCACAGAATTTCTGGCATTGATCTATTGGACAGCCATGACTATAAAATTTTACTCTTCCTTTGTTTTAAACTACATTATTTCACCAATAAATCCGGCACCACCATCCCCACAAAACATTTGTATTGCTGGAAGTTATTAGGCTCATTCTTTTAAGTACTTCAAAACGTTAAATATGAAACCTAATAGATATTGACAACTAGAAAGGATTCCACTTTGTATACTACTAACTAGTTCTCTGAACTTTCAGAAAATAACTAGACTAATAAAAAAATTTAGTTTTTGTAGGGCTCAAAAATTTAGTGTGCTTTGGGAAATAGGGAGTTAAAAATCTTTCGGAAGTTAACTTGGTATAAGAGTATGAAAAGCCTCTGTTGCTCTAGTTCTAAGGAAATGCTCTCCTTTCTTCTAACAAGGCTTCCACAGAAGACAAACTCTGTACACAATAAGCAAGGTAAGTATGGGAGAGAATTCATTAACTCTCAAGTTACTCATTTTGTAAGCAAGGGAAACTTTACTTAGGAATACTAACTGTGCTTCATAGTGCTGATCTATTAAAATTTCATAAAGCAAGCCTCAAAATACGAGTCATTCATGCCAGCTATGAGTAAATAACTGAAGCAGCATTTCCAGAAAGGCTAGGGCAAAGGACAGAATTAACCAGAAATGAGCTGGAAAAAAACCCATAATCAAATGTTAATAATTTACCGTAGTTACTACTCTTAAAACCAAAGTAACTCAATAATATGACTATGATCTGTTTACATTTGTTTATATTTATGCTTGTTTTCAGTATCTCTACACTGAAGTGTTCAGTGTACGTTGATGTGGGTAGAAAATCAAAGGCTACAGAGGCTTTTCCTTAGATTAGAACAGTCATTTTAATGTGTAAATTTAGATTTTAATCCTTTAAAGGAAGAACACAGGAACTGGCTCATTAAATGTTTTGAAGTATTCACATTTTATATTTCCATCATGTATTTTGTCTGCATGCTTGTTTGTTTCCTGAGCACACTGTAGTGACTGTTTATGAGAATTCCAGTCGAGTAAAATTAGAACTTTGGAGAAGGCCAAAAATAACAGGGAGCACCCTATTGTTCTGTGAAAAACACTGGACTTAAAACCAGTAACCTGGGTCCCAGGCCTAGATTTCTCCTGGTACTGAGGAACTTTAACCAAGTTAATTAAGCTCTCTTTCCTTTACTCCTGCAATGGGGATGTCAATACCTACTCCATCCTATCTTATAAAGTGGATATATGAATAAATTAAGATAACATATGCAGAAAAACATTATAGATTAAACTACTCTGAATTGTAATAAATTACTTTTGTATCTCCATCAACAATCTGGCATCACTAGTACATAGTGTTTCCAGTACTTGAACATATTTAACTTGATAGGTGATTGAGCATGAAATAAAATTGGATTTGGTAAACTCATTTCTCCAAAGAAATACAATCATTTCAGTATTCTGGATGGTTTCCCCTAATAAGAACCCCTTTTGAATAACACATTCCAGTGGAGAGTCTCTGCTGCCAATAAATTAGACTTACTGTGTCCACATAAACTCATACAATCTGGTTAGTACATAGAACAACACACCTCAAGACATTTTCAGGCATGACAAAGACTTGAAAATTACTAACAGTTGCTTTTTCTTTAGTATTGAAGCAAAAAAGTAAGAAAAAAAAAAATCCTAAGGAATTTGACACAGAATTACCAAAAGTTTCAATGGAAAGAAATTAAAGCATGTTTCAAAGTAGCTTTTAAAGTCCCAGAGATCATTGATTTGGTTCTTATGTCTCTGATCATGAAAAAGCTTCTGAAAGAAAGGATGCTGTTCCAGAGAACGTCTAAGAGGATCTGCCTTTGGCTGTTTATAGAGGTGAGATTCAAATGCCCTCAGATGATGAAAAGTACCTGAACTCATTTCAAAGAAGAAATGTTTTTAAAATGCAAGTGGAAATATAAATATTGAATAATAACATGCTTATTATGGGCCACTTTATTTTTTTTATTTTTGAGGATTAGAAAATATAAACTGTTTTTTAAATTACTACAAGTAGTCATGAAAGCACCATTAGATGACATTTAGCTGAAAAGAAAACAATTTTTATATTAGTATAAGGTGCTAATTTATTATTGCGTTTAGATCTACTAACCATTTGAGGGAGTTAGAAGTTAAAGTAAACAGCTGCAACTCTAGTTGATCTCTGCATGTTTTAATCCAAATATGGTAAAGGGCAGGGCTAAAGAAGGGAGTGCCCCTATAATAAACAGGGCTCAGAACTCTTAACAGAAAATTAAAATATACTCCACTGAAGAGAACTCTGCATTTTGTACTTTAGTTAAAGTTCCATTTAGATATAAATTTCTAAACTTTTCTTAAGAAATTAAGTTTTCTTGGATTGCCTCTCTTCTGAATTGCAGATATCAGATTAAACTACTAGATAAAATGACTTCTTGTCACGTTTTTGAAGATCCTATAAGAAAGGTTGCTATCTTTGGAGGGACTCATGGGAATGAGCTAACAGGAGTATTTCTAGTTAAGCACTGGCTGGAGAATGGTGCTGAGATTCAGAGAACAGGGCTGGAGGTAAAACCATTTATCACCAACCCAAGAGCAGTGAAGAAGTGTACCAGATATATTGACTGTGACCTGAATCGAGTTTTTGACTCTGAAAATCTTAGGTAAGACTACATTTTGTGTTGTGTGCATGCGTGAGTGCGTGTGTGCATGTGTGTGTGTCAGAAAAGTGGTATGTGCTGGAGAGAACACATATATGTTTATGTATATGCTATTCATGTCCGTACAGATAGTCGCTATTGTGAATAAGATCACTTTCACTTTTAATCACACTCCATTATGAATTACTCAGTTCTCTAAACTGGGCATTCACATGCTCTTTTGTAAACCTTTTTAAGCATCAGACTGTTCCTAACTGATTTTCTTTTTAAATGTATTCTATACAGACTGAAACAATAAATAACAAAGGTTTTTATTTTAAAATCATATCTTTAAAGAAACATATTTATTTAGGTACAAATTTGTCAGCTTTCTAAGTGATTCGCTGCCGTATTTTTATGCAACTATGTTTATGGTAGTGCATAAAGTTCTAGTTAAGAAAAGTATAATGTTTTGATTAACATTTGTTTAATAAAAGTATGCAATTATGGCACTTTAGGTATGTTATTATCTTTTGTCTTTGTTTACATCATTATAGCTACTACTGTAGGTATATAATTCTCTAAGTATTTTCTTTTTACAACTTCTTGCTTTCATTTATCTAAAAATATTATTAAACACCCGCTCTTCACCAGGCATTGTCCCAGGTACTGTAAGGGTACAAAACTATATACAAAAATGGTTTCTACCCTCAAAGAGTTGGCAGACTACTAACTAAGATATAAGATGGGACAAGAGCAACAAACACAGCACTGCTTTATGTATGCATTTTCTAATAAACACTAATTTAAGTTTAGAGAGT